GGCCCCTCATTAATGTTATGAACACAAAAGTTAACTAATGTTTCTTTCTTAGCCAACTTCAATTTCACATGCTTTCAAGGTTGGCATATGCTCCCCAGTCTCTCTGTAATGCATTCCTTCCAACACCTCCTGCCTGCTGAATGCTTGCAACCAGCAGAAACACTCCTGCCATCCTGCTCACTTCTGCTTCCCTTGGGCAAATATGTATCCCAAGATTCAGGTTAGTTTCTTCCCAAATCTGGTGGCCTTATAATTGTTTACAGTTACATGTATAATTGATAACTATGTGACATAATAAATTATTTTATTTATTAAAATTAGTATAACTAAATATTGCAAAAACTGGTTAAATACAATTAACAGAAAGAATGCTGTTTTTTCTATGAAACCTAAGATTAATGCCTCAGGAATGACTTTATAAAGTCAAGTACTGAGAAAAACGTACTGTCAAAATTAATTGTGGATGAGGAAACTAGAAAAGTTCAGAAGAAATGATCACAAAAATCTAAAACAGTATTACATTCAGATTTCTTGATAAAGAGCCTTTTAATTTTCACTCCATTTTGAAGAAAGCCAGGTTGGCTTCTTTATTATGTGTGAGGTTTGTTTATGAAAGACCAGACAAAACTCTAATCAATAAGCCAATAATTTAGCTTTAAAATAAAAAAGAACTTGGAATGACAAAAATACTGAAAATAAAAATGTTGCTAAATATATCAGGTCATTTTTTAAAGATTCCTCCGTTAATCTTTTCTTTAAATTAATGGTCCAAGTCCAGCCCTGATCTCATTACTGTGTATCCTTTGCCAACAACCAGCATCACCTGACTTCTAAGATCAGGAAGAGGAATGCGTGAGGTTGTTTTTTTTATTTTCATTTATTTTTTTTTTTATTTTTTTGGTGGAGGGGTGTTACCAGGGATTGAACTGTGGGGCACTCAGCCACTGAGCCATATCCCCAGCCCTATTTTTGTATTTTATTTAGAGACAGGGTCTCACTGAGTTGTTTAGCACCTTACCTTTGCTGAGACTGGCTTTAAACTCTCAATCCGCTGAGATTGCAGGCGTGTGCCGCTGCGCCCAACAGGAATGTGTGAGGCTTTAAGAGTTGCTAAGAGGTATGATGGGGTTTAAGAGTCAGGGACACAGGACAGACTTTCTTTTCATTCCAACTCTTTTGCTTTTTAAGTGTTCTTCATTGAGCCAGTTTGTTGTTTGCTCCACTGATTTTCCACTTTGTACAAGAAATAAAGGCAGCTCACATGGACTCTGTAGAAACAGCAAATTAATATAGAAATTAGAAGGTGTTATGTGAATGTTCTTTCCCTTCTCTGGCCAATAAAAAGATACATTGCTAATGCATAATTTTTTTATTTATGAAATAATTCTATGCCTCTGCATTGTCTTTGTTTTAAGTACTTCTTTATATATTTTAATTAACCCTGCACACTGACAATAAAGGGCAGATATACCAGATATAATTTTCTCCTATTTATTTGTTGTAAAACTGAAACAGATGGATGTGAATTGTCTAAATCAAGTTCTCTCAGAATGGTACATAAATTTATGTTTAAACATCACCTACTTTAAGTTCATCCTGATCCTATTACTTTTTTAACTCTTGAAATTCTACCCCATGTCTTGACATTTTTTAGTTAGTCTTTCATAATATTCTCTTTAGAAGTCTATAATAATCAGCAGAAAACATCACATTTAACTATGCCAATACGTGCCAAAAAATAATAAGACGTAAAAAAGGAAATAAATTTCTTATGAGCACAACTGAGAGTCAGTTAGCTTTGTCCTCAGGGTCTGTAGTTCAAGACAGCACCTGAAAATTAGATGCCCTCATGCTAACCCACTTCTCCATCCTGATGACATCTCACACCAGAAGAACACTGAAACTCAGTTGAATTCTCAGACACAGAGTGAGATCCTGAAAAGTAAAAAAAAAAATTCTAGATAAGCCCTACTTAATACTTACTGGAGTCTCACCACATTATGTTGCAAGAGAGATGAAATCTGTTGATACAAAGCACTTCCCTTCTTTTATGATAGAAGAAATCAACTCTCAACTAGCCCCATCTTGTTCCACTTAGTTCTAATTACATTTAATTTCTTCCCCTCCTCCCAACTTGTGGACAATAATTCTACAGATTAATTTCACCTATTCTCTAACTTCACCTAAATTAGTGTAGTATGTGTAGTTCACACCCTTCATGTCTGGCTTAGTTTATTCAATGTAATGTTTTTGAGATTCATCCATGTTATTTCTAGGATCAGTACTTTGTTCCCTTTTATTACCAGGTCCCATGCCTCTGTGTTAACATACCACAAATTTCTTATCAATTGCCCCACTGATGAATTTCTGAGATACTCCTACTTTTTAGCTATTATCAATGTAAATTCTACAAAATTCTTATACACTGTGAAAATATGTTTTCCTTTTTCTAGGGTAAATAACTAGGGGCATTGTTGTTTGGCATCTAATTGGTGTATATTTATTAAAAACTGGTCAATGGTTTTCTACATGGTGTTTCCATTTGGCATTTCCTTTAGCAATGATGAGAATTCCAGGTGCTTTACATCCACACTAACACTTGGTATTTTGGGATGTTTTAACACTATCCATTGTAAATATAATGGTAGTCTTATGTCCTACAATTCCATTTTGACTTTACTTTTCATTCCCCTGATGAATAATAATGTCATATTTTTTAAGGATTTGACCATTCATGTCTTCTTCTGTTGTCTGTCCATTCTCTATTAGATTGTCTTTTTTAATTTTTCAGGATTATTTATATATTCTAGCTTTTAGTTTTGTACAGATATTTATAGTGTACATATTTTCTTTTAGCTCTGGTTTCCATTTACATTTTTACATGCCTTTTTATGAGAGTATTTGAATTCAAATTAACCATAGTTATTATCTTAATAGTTATTGAATTAATGAGCAGATTTGGGGCTCTCTTCTTTTTGATGCCCTTGTTGTTTGGAACTGTCCATTCAATTCCAAACATTGTGGCAGCTCCAGTCTCTAACCTTTAGATCTTTCTTCAACCCATTTACATGGTGCTGTCCTCATGAACTATATTCTATGCAAACTAGAGAGTGCTTTCAGAGGAAAAGCTGAATTAACATTCTTTTTGATTCCCTTTTTTCAGTGCTTGAATGCCCTTCTGTTCCTTTCTGCTCCTAATTGCTTTCCAGGCCTTCAATGGTTGGGTTTATTTTTCATTGTTGTTTGGAGTATACACGTGTTATTATCAGGAGACTCAGGCTGCTAGCATCTTCTTTACTATTAGGAACCTGTCACTCTTTGTATTGAATTTCTCATACAGTTCACACACTTTTTCTCTGAGCACAGGCTCCACGTATGCTATTTCTTCAACTGAAGCACTATTCCTTGCTCTCTGACTAATTAGTTTCCAATTACCCTTGTATCAATTGTTCAACAAGGTCTCTTCTAACCATTTTCTAAATCATATTTGTTGAATTACAAATATTTGTTGATTTACTCCTGTTCTACATTCCCAAAGCCTGATGTGCTGCTTTTGTGATATTTATAAGACTCATCTGCTTATATTTATTTGTTGAATACTTACTTTCTAATTAGAATAAAACTCCATTAAAACAGAAAACTTGGGTTGGGGCTCCAGCTCAGAGGTGGAGTGCTTGCCTAGCACGTGTGAAGCCCTTAGTTTGATCCTCAGCACCACATAAAAATAAATAAATAGAATAAAAGTAGGTGAAAAAAATCTTTAAAAAAAAACCAGAAACCTTGAGCTTGTCACAGAGGTGCTTTTTATTCATAAAAAATAAATCTTCTGTCAGCTTTCATAGCATCACCAACATTTGTGATGTACCTTTATGATCATCCACACCAATGATCTTTCCCCCTGAAGCTATGCATTAATTGTGGCTTTGATTTCACCATGACTTTATAATGTTTATTGTACAATATTTCTACTTCCCACATCTTTGTTCTGCATGATCATGGTGCCTTTCCTCCCACCAACTAAGGAAAAAAAATTGTCAATTAACAAGTGACATGTACAAGGAGTCTGTATGTTTTGTGTACTTCAGATTTGAATTGAAATGGCCAGGCACAGATTTAGTCATCATTTTGTTCATATATTGGCATAAAAATTGGTATTAAATGTTTCATGTAACTGCATCCAAGTTTTTCCACTAGAAACTGGGAACTTTCTGTGTAAAGACTTTCTGATTCTAGGTTTCATAACTCGGAGATTGGACCACTGCTTTCACATGATGTATGTAGTGTCTCATAACTGGAGTTTGCTTCATTTTGTAGTATCGGTACTTGTATGTTTTAAGTGCTATTCTGTCAACAGATGATATATTTGTCCTTTGAAAACACAATACCAGGGCTGGGGTTGTGACTCGGTGGCGGAGCGCCTTCCTAGGTTCGAGCCTCAGCACCACATAAAAACAGATCAACAAATAAATAAAGGTTAAATTATTTTTAAAAAAGAAAGAAAACATAATAAAATTTTTTAAAAACTGCACATCTAAAGAGATCTCTACTACAAGATCATTCTACTTTAAAAAGTCTATGCTTAAATATAATTATGAAAATATTCTCCACTCTCCAGGGCTCTCTTCTTTCCTGCTGCTGAAGCATGCCTACAAATGTGTTGTGCATCTAGGGAGTTACACTAACTCATCCCAGACAATAGGGTCACAATAGGCACCATTAGCTACATTGTGTCTTTTCTTTAGAAAATCAAACACATTTAGCAAACCACACTGGGTATCTTGGAATGGTATTGCATACTCTCTTAATGCCACTTAGAAACTAAGGTCTAGCACAGGGCTTAGCACAAACTAATTATTAAACAAATATTTATTTAACAAATCAACAAAATCAATCACAGAAAAAATTCAAAACAAAGGCAATTGTAATATACAAACTTTATTGATAAATCCAAAAACATGGCTTTCTTTAAAAAAAAAAAAGTATAAATCAAATGATGACTTTCAGTTACTAAAATGAGTCTTTTCCTGGGCAGAAGCTCACACTAAGCAGCACAGTTCTTACAACGCTGAAGACCATTCTCGTTGCAAGCTGTACACTTCAGGGCTTTGAAAGAGTCTGTAAAGCAATTTCGAAATACTGACATCTTGCTCCCATGGCACACGGAGCATGGAAGAAAACCGAAGCCTCCACAGGAGCGACACTCGTGTGGATGCTGCACTCTCTGTGTAGGGGACAAGGGGACAAGAGAGAATAGAAAGTGTGTTAGCATGAACAACGCAATTAGCCTTCCCATCTTTCAGTCCTTTGAGAGTTTGTAAAATGACATTGGCACAATATAACATGGCTGTGAATTTGAAATGACAAGCCATGGGGGGAAATTGGTGGAGTATTCCTTCATTACCCCATTGACAGCATGGCTTATAAAGGCTGGTAAGTTGTAGATTTAACATGTACACCTTCCAGAGTTTCATCCTAGGAATATATATTTTTTTTACACATGATGTAATTGAGGCGCTAGATATTTGCATTAAAAGAAACTACTTTTACTTTTCCAACAAAGAAAATACTTTAACTTTCCCTTTAGTATTTTTTAACAGCTTTATGTCTTTGTTTATAGAATAGTACCTCTAATAGTGAATTTGGAAAATCAGGAAACTATAAGCTAAAATGTGGAGGAGCCTCTAACAATGATATCCATCTTTATATTGCCAGTTTGAACAATGCTTTATTCTTTTCAAAGCACTTTCAAATGCATTATTATGTAGAATCTTCCCCCAATCCATCTTCCACATATATTGTCATCTTCTTCAATAAAAACATAATTCAAGCATCATTATCCTCATTTTATACTTAAGGGACCAGGTTTAGAAATCTTACGTGCATTTATAAAATGTCCCACAGTAGCAATCAGTGTTTCTATCTCAAGCAAACTTCAAGTATCCTAATAGTAGAATGAAAAACCATTAGGCATCACATTGATGATAATATTTTGAAAATCATTCACATACATTTCTCTTTGCTTTTCTGAGCACGTAACCTTTGTCAGAGTCCATTAATGGTCTCTGTCAGGTGGGGGACATTAGGAACCATAACAGGGTGAATAGCAAGAGAAAAGAATGAATGGATGGTCAGTTTCTGACTTGTATAATGGGAATCTGCATTAATATTTAAAAGCTTGGCTTTGTAAAGAAAATAATTACTAAAACAAGGTTGGCAAATGTAGGAATACATACAAAGACACACTCAGAGAAACATGCTAAACACACTTGCACATGCACACAGCTTTTCTTTAGAGGTTAAAAATCTCATATCTTAAAGTCTCCAAAAATCCATCTTAAAAGGAACCTGTCTACCTGTATTTAACCAAACATTTCTCTAACACATACAACTTTTTCCATGGAAATAAATATAACTCTCTCATAATAAGTAGCTTGGGAAACATACTTTGAAAACAAACATTAAGAACATGATTGACTTAAAATTTATATATTTCCAGACTATTTTTCAGATGTACATTTTCTGTATGTGGGAAGATTCAGTTACCATTACAGTTTGGTTTAGCTATCATATTAAGATGGCAAAACTCATGAAATAGCTCGTTTTTAACAGCACAGAATTACTTTCTTGGAAAGTAGTGGTTGCCAATCTGAATGACACAAACAAGGAACTTTGTCAAGATTGTAATGATTTAGAGGTCTTCCAACAAGTTGAATTGAGCGTATGTAGCAATTTGGTTATTTTTTTAATGGGTTTTTGTCATTGCTTGGTATAAGAATTGACACCAAGAAAGGTGCACTGAAGTTATAATTTTTATAATTCTAAAAAGTCTTTAGAAAAATACCTGGAGTAAAAGCAAATCTAGCAATAATAAAAAGAATGTATTTTAAAAGCAAATATAAGATAATCAATAAGTAATGTTGTTCTTGTCCAATTTTAGAGAGATTATGAGATATCCTTGATATAATTAAAGTTAGAAAGAGAGATTACATTAAAAATAGTTATGACTTCTACAACAAAGGCACCACCTACACAGAACAGATGTGGAGCCTACCTAGAACTGTAGCAAGGATGTTAAGGCCCCTGAGTCCAGGATCTCATTTATTACTGCTGAATCATAAATAGTGCCCTAGGAAAATAGGTGGTCCAAATTGCAAATAAAAATACAGAATGCTAAGTTAAATTTGAATTTCAGAAATAATATTTGTATAATTATATATTCTGTTGAACATAAACTATAAAATTATTGATCATTTACCTGAGATTTAAATATAAATAGGCATCCTGTATTTTACCTGGCAACCCTGTAGAAGAGAGGATGTCGGGCAAAGGAGAGTTGTTTGTGCAGCAGCTACTTATCAATCAATAAAAATTATTTCAGTATCTTCAAAACCACTCAAGGCATGCTTCAATTTTTTTTAATAACCAGTATAGCTGTGTGGATGTACACTAACTGAATGTCAACCCTGCTATTTCCCAAGACACATGCAAATGATCAAATTTTTGAATTGCATATGGTTTTCCCACAACTTATATGTGTGATGAAAAGCAAAGAATAGAAAAGCTGAAATAATATGCATTAGGTAGTTTCCTAGGCTCATTCTCTACATACATCATTCACTATAGACACCAGACTATTGGCAAACAGAATTCAAAATGGTAACTCAACAAAATTATTTTTTTTTTTACACCATGGGCCGTCAGTATGACTTACAATGCTTACTTTCAAAAACCACAAATATCAAATGTTAAATCCACTAATACCAAGAGTCTACTGTTTCTTAATGATGTATATTAAGTCATAACAATACCTTTCCTAAAATAAAATTAGCATATCAATACTGAAAGGTCATTTTCATTCTTAAAGGGAATCATAAATATATCAAAGCCATCTTAGAATAGTGTCCTCAAAATTGAAGCAATTCTATGATGCAGTCTGTCCTACTGAAAGGGTTGGTGAGAAGAGTCAGGATTAATTCACATACGATGAATAGAATATTGCCTGGCGCATAGTAGGCATTCAACAAGTTTACTCATTATTAGCAAGTGTTTCATTAATAAATCCTTATTTGAAGGGATATTGATTAACTACTAAATTGCTTATGTTCACAACATAACCACAAGCAATTTTCTTTCATTTAGAGTCATTTTATTAAACACATGTTCTATAATTAACCTTCTGATTTAAGGTCTTGCCACTATAATGAAGGGAGAGCAAATGCGCTTCACTCCAGTGCTAATTATGATGTTTAAGGCAGTGCTGGAAAGATCCAGAGACCATTTCCATTCTCCAGAAAACATGGCTGTTTCAACCATACATGTGGGAGAGAAAAGGGACAGCTTAGCCAGCTCAGGATGAAAGTATGAAAGGTACTTTCAGTATGAATGTACCTTAAACACGCATTGCCTACACGCATTCTCACACCAACCCCATATGATAGATACTGCCATATTACAAAGAAAAAAACAAAGCCTCTTAATGGGGGAAAAAAATTCAGGTCACCACTAGAAAATAAAAACTGGCGTGTTCTCTTCATGAGCAAAATCTGTGGGCTTTCTTCTGTAGTGTGCTAATTTTTATTTATTGATTTGCTTGTTCTGCAGTGCTTGGGATCCATTCCACAGGGCCTCATGCATGCTAGGCAAGGGCTACTACTACTGAGCTGAGCCATTGGCATAATTATTTTTGTTTGTTTGTTGGCTCAAATGATATATACATGAGATCCCCAAGTGTAAAATAATTAGAAGAATAAATATGGTGACTAACACAGAATGTGGAGCAAAAGGAGGGTCTTGAGGGTACCCACTATGACTCTTACTTGCTCTATCAGCCTTCAGGAATCCCATTATTGTTACATCATCCAACACAATCTAAAGCCGTGGTTCTTCTAACAAAAATAAGTAGGTCAGTCATTCCTAGCTACCTCCTTCAAAGAACACTTTTGTAAAACTAAAATTCTCATTCCAATTTAAAGTACTCTCTACAAAGAACTTGCTTAAAATAGATGCTCCTGACTCACCCGAAGTCCAAGACTTCAGATTTTTCTTTACAGAACAATGTTAAAAAAAAAAAAAAAAGCTAGGAAATTTCCAAAGAATGTGGACAATGTTTCAGGTTAAAAGATGGAGAAATGACTGAGGTTAACAATATAGTCATAACTATTAGTAACAAAGCAGACTTCCACTTTCAATGAAGAGGTTAACAACAAAAACTTTGACCTTCTAGCAATTCAGGAATCTAAGGCAGCTCTTCAGTGCCCTAGTTGCCAGCAAAATGAGAAACCATGCAGACCTGGTTGAGAACAGACATCGTTGGAGTTCTCAATCCACAAAATGTTCCTCCACTGAAGAGTGGTTTAGATTGAGGCATGTCTCTTTGTAATGAAATTTTAAGGAAAGGGGAGTAAGAAATAATCTTTCCCCTTTTCCTCTTTTTGTTCATGTATTTTTGGTGAAGGGCATTTTTAAAGAACTCACTAGGTGAGATCTTTTCACTTATTAATTTATTTCACAAATACTTACCTAGTGTCCACTAGCCAGGAACTGCACAGGCATTGGCGATTACAGCAGTGAACTAGAAACTTCCTTGTTCCCCTAAGAGGACCTCTCAGCTCTATCCTTAGATCTTTGAATAGATTCATTCCAGTCATTTAAATTGAAGCTTACAGAAATTTCAGATGTACAGCAAAAAACCCAGGGGACCAGGACTCAAGGGTGGAGTGCATGAATGATTGTCAACTTTGTGGTACAAACTCATATTTGGAGAATACAGAGAGTTGATCCCAGGTCCTCTAATATAGAAATAAGATACAAAAATCAAGAGCCTTTGTGTCATCTTCAAGATCAGGAAATATTAAATATTAATATTAATCAGGTTATAAATATTAAATATAAAATATTAATCAGGTTAAAAAAATATTTATTTTAAAAATATTTTTTTAACCTCAGATCATCCAATCCTATTCTAGTAGAGTATGAAAGTACCTTAAACACCTACCAAAGAGAAGGTTATTTATTTGTGTCCCTGTGACCACAAACCTCATCATCCAGATTGTCTATAAGTAGATCTATTCATGTAACAAATTATCGACAAGCACACACTTGAGATATAATCATCTCTCTCTGTACATAGATATGACAATTTAATTTAGCAAATGCTTTTTAATTGCCTATTAAAACACCTCACTGCTGGACCACGCTGTTAAAAAAAAATTAAACAGAATCTTTCCTAATCAACAGTGTTTCCAGCATTCTTAGTTTAAAGTTGGGGGGGAAAGCCACTGCACAAAATGCAGACACAGGAAATTTGTATATATAATCCTCAATGTTTATACCTGAATATAGGAGCCTAATTCTGTAGCCCAATGGGATGGACTGCTGTAAACCTGCTTAATAGGTTATCAGTTTTCAGTGAGAAGAAGATGATATCACCTGATTGCCTAAGTGAGAAAGTGGGGCTCTGCTGCCATAGCCTCTGAACTTGCTAAGTCTGCTCCCTAAGAGGGACCATCCTCTGCAGGGGAGCTCAGGACAGTCTTTGACAGCTCCAGTGCCTTGTCACACAGCCTCTGCCATTTCCGGCATCTCGCTGTATAGCTGAGAATCAGGTTATAAATATTAAATATAAAATATTTATATTCTATATAAATAATACTTTATATTTAATTAAATTTTATATTTTATATGTAATTAAAATTAAAAACTCTGTTTTTAATGAACAACAAATAACTGGTCACCAACCCCCTGGGGGGAATCAGACTAGGTAACCATTTTAAGCTTTTTTAGAAATTAAGGGCAGAAAATGGATACAATGTTGGCAAGCTCAGCAGAGATGACAATAAAGCTTTTGTTCATATTTTCAAAAATAAAGAAAGAAAGCCAGGCAAAAGCTTACTCAGAGCTGCTTTGCCATCTAAGATCTTGAATCGAGTGTCTGCCAGAATCAGTGGTATGCTAATACATCTCTGAGCTCCCTGGGTTCTCTCTGCATGTCTTGGTTGTCATTTGGACAAATCCTTAGATATCTTTGGCTTCTAACCTATAGCCTTTTTATTAATATAAACAAATTACATAAACATATAAATTAATAAATTCTACTAAAAATACTCTTTTCATCCAAGCATTTTCCTATATAAAATAATAATTTTGATTTTCATCTCTTAACTGCTTTACCTCATTCAAAATCCTTCAATGAAACTGGAATCATTAATTTATTCACTCAACAAATGTTTGAGTGCCCATTATATGCCAATCCCTGTTCTAGGCACCAGCAGGAAAGGAAAGAATAAGAAAGATAAGAGTCTGTATCCACTGGAGCTCATATTCTATTAGAAGGATGACTTGCAAACTGTCACCTCAGGAGCAGAACCCCATTGCTACAAACAGCTGTATGAAACTTGGTCTTCATATTTACGACCTTCTGTTCCACTTGCATCTGCGCCATTTGGCCAGTTCCTCACCTGGGAGGATGCTGCCAACCTGTATCAACAAGTCTTATCCACTCAGCTTCCCATAGAAACTTTCACTGTTTTCCAAAGTATTTTAAGCTGAGAGAGAGAGAGAGAGAATGGTTCTATTGATCTAGCATGGTGGTGTTAAATTGCAGAATTCAAGAATTATGGACTCAAAAGAAGAAAAATAAAGGATATCTAAGTCAGTTATCAAGACCCTAAAAAATCGCTATTAAACAATGGAAATAAAAACAGTATTATATTGGTGTAATAAGAAACAAACAAATCAATTGAATTGACTAGAAAGCTCAAAGACCCAAGTACATGAGGAGATTCATTATAATGTAAAGTGGGCACAACAAAGCAATAAAGAAATAATAGATTATTCAGTAAATGGTGTTAGGAAGCTAGTTCACCATAATTAAAAAAATAGAAGTAGAATATAAATTAAATAATTAAATATAAAAAATAGTACAAAGCTAATAAAAGAAAATAGAGGATGATATCTTTGGAATTCTCAGATGAAGAACTAAATTAAAGTTCAGAGGCACAAAACATAAGGAAAAATGGTAGATTTTATTATCTTATGAGAGAATTTCTTTTGGATAAAGTACACATGAAAGAAACTTTAAAAGGGGAAGGACGTTATGTCAATGACTAAAACAACTAGAAATTAATATCCAGATTAGAAAAGAATATTCTGAAAAATCAAATCCCCCAAAAAAGATAATTCTGTGATTTTAATGGGAAAAGTATAAAAATACAGAATTTACATAAGAAAAAATGTAAAAATCTGACAAACATAAAATGAGATACCCAAACTCAATAGTAATCAGCAATGCATAATTTAAAACAATAAGGTTATATAGTTCTATAACTTCTACTCTGGAAAATTTTTAGAAAATGGTAATATGAAATATTTCCAGGAATGTAGAAACACAAGAAATCTCTTTCTTTATAGGAGGGAGTATTTACTGATGCAACCATTCCAAAAAGCCATCTGGCACCATCTAGAATTAGGCACACACACAAGCAAGGCTTCAGCCATTTCTACTCCTGGGAAACCCATAAAGGAACACATTCACTGTTGTTCCTTGCAGTGCTGTTTGTTTGAAGGAGGGAATGAGAGGACACCTGTGTGTTTATCAGTGGAAAGGTGGGAAGATAGATAAAAATATGTGGGCACTGTGGAGCTACACTGTCTAAAACAAGAACAACTAGCTAGGTGTGAATTTAAATTTAGATTTAGATCAAATCAAATTAAATTAAAATCCAGTTCCTCTGTTATACTAGCCATACCTCAATAGCCACTATCAGCTAGAGACTACTATTTTGGACACTAAAAATGAGAGATATTCCCATCACCAAAGAAACTCTATTGGTTATGGCTGCTATGGAGAAGCATGCAGCAGTTAAAATGAGTAGATTAAAGGCTCACATAGCAATGTAGATGGTTGTTAAATGCATAGGTACCTAGTGAGAATACTTTAAAACCAAATTAGGTATATTATATAATACCATTTATATAAATTTAAAGTATGCAGAGATAATAATAATACAAAATAACCAAGTTAAATGATTGGATACACACTAACTTAATGGTGTCATAGGATTGGAGTTGCATATGAGGACAAATGGAATGGATTTATTTAATCCACATTAATGATTTATTTAATCCATATTAATAATCAGGAGGTACACACCCTCATCTAATAGGTAAAGGAATCAAGATTCTTCTAAATGAAAAAATATGCCCAAAGTCACATAGCTATCAGTGGAGCTGAGGTTAGTTAATATCCTCTGATTTGCAAGTCATACTACTTCACAAGTTATAAATTGTGCAAACCAAGGGAATTTAAACCACTCTTACACAAGGTCAGCTTTCTTTCTGAAAATACCCTATGGTTTTTTTAATTTACTAATCAGATCATGGTACATTGCCTTCCTATATCCAGGGACCTTCCCTCCCAGATATTTTCTCTCTAGCTATCATCTTTATTGAAGCATAGTATCTAAATGCAATGCTATTGTATTATGACATAAATTAATACAAAACTTTTCTAGGTCATTGCTCTATGCAACCAGTTCTTTAACAGGGCATCATTGTGTCCCTTAGCAATATGTCTATAAATAGTAGATACTCAGAATATTTGTTGAATGAATGAATACAGTGTGTTTTCCTTCTGGGAAGATCAAAATATAAATACTTGTTTTGACTGAAATGAAAGGTTTGGCAGAGCATGAGAAGTAAGGATAGAAAAGGATGTTAAGACCAAAAGAGGAGATAATGGCATGGAGATACTGGGTAATCATAGACCAGCCTAGCTCATCCAGGAAAGCAATGTTTCATGTTTGCTGTCCCAGAAAAGGGACATTCATTCTCAAAAGGTCCCAATCTGCATGATAACGAATGTAATCTTTTTACATATAGGAAGAAACAGGATAACACAATAATTTATCAGAGAAGTGAAAAGGGTTCCCTGGTTGAATATTAATCTGATGCATTATGTATTTGAATAGTATTTCTCTGATGTTTTCATTAGAAGTATGGGGGGAAAATTAAAATGCGGTTTGAGAGAAATAACTTTTTTCTTTCATCTTTAGAAATGATGAGCTAGTTCATGGGAAAAATAAAAGTTTTAGCAAAACTTTAAAGTGTGTTTTAACACAAATGCCAGACTTGAAATACCTCATCAATATCTCTGCTACAGAGAATTAGGCTCAAATAAAGCAGACCAAAATTTTCAAGTAATAGTATGAGATTATTCAACCCTAGTACCAAAGTCACTTTAGCTGGAGCAAACCTAATGGCATGTGATATTCAATTAAAATCATCACATGTATCCTGTTACATGTTTGTAACAACATAGGGGGAAATTCAATTAGGAAAACCAAATTACAATCGAATGTGCTTAACATTTTGATTACTAAAAATAAGTTGCTAAAAGCACAATTACCTCAATTTTGGTTAAGAGATCTTGCAGTTCTCCTGATTCATTCATTGACAAAATTTTCTCAGCACCCTATTAACAAGAGAGGGTGGGGGGAAAGAAAATCCATGGTGTTAGTATTTGAGAAAACAAAGTTCTAGCCAGGAAAGTTTAACTCACAAAACAATAAACATGATTCTTCTCTTCAGATCTGAGTAAACTTCAAACCAGAAGGCCAAAAAGAAGTTTTTCTTTATTCTCAAATTTTCGCCCCTCTAGTAAGGCTTACTATATGCAGAAAGAAAGTTGCCAGCAGGGGTTGATCTCAGGGCAGCTGCAAGTGTCACAAGTCCAGAAATGGCAGGATCCTGCACACCCTTTGGGGTGTTCGAGTAGAAGGAATCAACTATGCCATCTGGGAAAGAAAGCCTTCGAACAAACTCCCAACCCTGGGTTGTCTCTGCCCATGATGGTCCCTGGTCTTCAAGATACCCTGGTGTCTACTCCAAGCAGTCTTGGACATGGCCTTCCTTAGACTCATGCATGTAAAAATAACAGCTAATAATGAAAATAATGATAATAACCAATACTAATTATTATTGTGAGCCAGGCACCAAATATCACCTCATTTGATGTAGTAGACTCTATTATTAGTAGAATTTGAGTGTTGGTGAGATTAAATAATAATTCCAAGGTCACCAAAGGAAGACATTTACAGGGAACTTACACACAGCCAGGGACTTGCTCCAGAGCTGCTTTTAATTTCTAAAACTTTGCTATGAAAGTAAAAAAAAAGGGGGGGACAATGCATTCACTTTCCAACAAACTCCTCTGTTCCTTTGAACTACTCCAGTTTCTTTCTTTTCCAATGTCCCATATTCTCCCACTCCATTTCCCAGTATACAACCACAGAGCAGGAATTTCATATTGTGTCCGCATTGCTTAACAATGTAGGTGTCGAATCCATTCTTAATTAATGAACCAGGAAGGGAGGGATACCATCACACTATAAATATGTTCAGATTCCCATTTTTAATCAGCATGGTGGGAAACACAAAGATCCATTTTAAAATGTAAAAAGGATCTTAGATCTTAAGGAAATTATTATATATTTTTATGTAAACATACACAAAAGTAACCCACAATGTAGAATGGAAAATAAATGCCAAATAAAAGATGTAGAAATAAAAATGGCACCCGAGGGATAAGGGTTGGGGAGATCTGCTTGTTGAGGATAAAGAAGGCTTGGCTTGGGCCAGGAAGATTGTGTGAGATTTCTGAGAGTAGGGAATTCTGTAGTGCTACATAAAAGACTCTAGTCCTTGGTTTCATTTAGCTTCAGACTATTTTATATATCTCATGTCATCTTAGTCACCATAAGAAATATCAGGTCAATATATTAAACACACTATAAATGAATATACAGGGCTATAGAGAATATATATAGCTCTTCCAGGCAGATTATATTCTTTCATATGTTGGTAGTCTTAACAGTAATACAAACCTGACACAGCCAAAATAAGAGCAAAGGTAATGAAACACCATGACAAAGCATCAAGGTCTGAAACTTAGTAATAACTGGTAATATTTTAGTTTTGCTTCATTCTACTTCTTTTAAGAATTAGCTAAGCTAAAATGAGGGACTGGCTCTGTGGAATTTGGTACAGGAACTAAGGCAGTAAAAAGAATATATGCCTCATTTTTTGTAAATGAAAAAAAAAAAACACACAGGGATGAATTCAAACAAAATGAATGTGCCAGAACTTCCATGTGCCTGTTTCTACGCCCCCTTCTCCATCAAAACACTCTGCCTTTGTTACTATGTAGACTACAGTGACATGCCAAGAAAAGCATTTGCCCTTAAATATATGAAATTTGCTCTGTTTCAGCAAAATAATTTCAACAGCATTACTAATAAGGAAGTAGATTCCACCTCAAAGGAGAAATGTAAGCTTTGCTCATCTCAAGCAATGTATAAAAAGGCATGATGGTCCTTGGTCTTCAAGATACCCTGGTGTCTACGGGGCATGAAGTACATCAAGTGCTCAAGGCTGGGAAACATTTGCCCAGTAAGAGAAGAGGCAGCTGATAGGAGGAATGACCTATCACATGACCTCTACATCTCTACTGGCCATGTCCTCGGCTCTCTTCCTTGGAACCACTCCTCTGGTCTATGTGCCACATGTGAAGCAGTAACAGTAGGCAAAATCTCCTGTTCCCTACTGGGTCCCATGTCTCTTCCCCCGACTTGACTCCCTATCACTGATGATTCTACATGCAAGATTTCTGGGAATGGTACAAAGAAAATCAGAAGATCCCCTCTCTGATCCTAACAGCAACTCCAGTTAAATGAGGATCTTAGCCTAACTGCAAAAATTATAGATTGCTCCTTTTTCAGTGAACTTTTTTGCCATTGTGACAAAAAGACCTGACAAGAACAATTTCTTAGAGAATGAAAAGTTTACTTGAAATTCACTTTTTGAGAAGTTTCACTCTATAGATGGCAGACTCCACTGCTCTGGGGCTAAGATAAGGCAGAACATCATGATAGAAGGGTGTGGCAGAGGAAATCAGCTCAGGACATGGTATCAGGAAGCAGATAGAGAGAGCTCTACTTTCCAAGGGCAAAATATAAACTCCAAATATGTGTCCCCTGAAACCCACCTATAGCCATACTCTACCTGCTGCAATTACCATCCAGTTAGCCACTTTAATAATCTAACACAAGACAGATTTTTTTCTTAGAATAGTAGTCTAAATGATGCCTTACATACTATTTCAGATAGACTAGCTGATTTAACAGATAATATTCTTGCTTTTTCATTAACCCATAAAAATTTTGTCTCCAAATAAATGCTACAATAGTAATGGCTCTTAAATCCCACCAGTACAGGTTTACATCCCTCCTACTAGCTCTAACCAGATTCTTTTTCCTTCTCACTCCCTCCTGCCATTTATTTATCCCTGTGTTATGGCATACCCCACAGTGCCTGTTAGAGTATCTTCTACTGACTATGGTAAAAACCCAAAAATCTCATTTTGGCCCAAAAATGCCTTCACTATTGATTGCACCAATCTTTGCAACACTGCCTTTAACATCATCAGTGCCTGATACCCTCAATTTTTCTTCTCCTGACACTCCAAGTCACTCCATGAGATTTTATGCCTTTGTACATGCGCCATCCTTCTTTGCCTGAAATTTTGTCAATCCTTTTCCACAGTCTCTTGGAAAACTCCTATATGTCCTTCAATTTCAATTTAAAGGTCACCTTCTCAATAAAGAATCCTTTACTATCCCAGCAAAAATCAATCATATCTTCCTCTGTAAGTATTCTCACATCACATTTGCCTCACTGGACAGCAAACCCAGTGGTGATAATAGGAACTATGACTTTCATTCAGTACATAGTACCTTGTGCACCCTAGACAATCGGTAAGTATTTACTACATTAATGTCTTCAACATTTTTTGTAGCAAATATAGCATTAAATTCTAAGCAGTTACGTCTTCTAATGACTACTGATTCAAAAAAGAAAAACAAGCCAGCAAATATGTCAAAATGCACTTTTGTGATATGCAAGAGACCATGATAATGTGATTTCATAATGGAATGACAGATAACTAGAAGGATGAATACTATGTAAATGATGTCCTCTGCCTATCACTTCTCTCAGCTGGACACTTGATGGGAAACAAAGATCAAACCATTGGAGGTTGTACTCTGGTTGCACTCTCTGATGAGGACCAAGAGACTAGGACTATCTAGTACTAGCTGACAAAGAACCCTTCTGCTGTGTAATCAGGAGAGCAGATGGCAGTTTTGGCATTGAAAGAGCTCAACCAGAAACTAGCATGATGTCTGCCAAAGGATGTGCTCAATAAATGTTTGTTGCAATGTCATTCACACTGGAAATGGGAGATTACATCAGCTCTGCCTGGAAATGGGCCATCTGAGCCCTGCTGAAAAAAAAAAAAAAGAATTTACTTCAGGAATCAGCTCTGGATCTTCTCTAGTGCATGAACAAACTCCATGGAGTCTCTGGAGTTCTATACCAAACACTTAGACCTGGAAACTGTTCAAAGCAAGAGTAGTAATATCCCATCAGTGTCTTTAAAAACACAGTAAAGGCTCCTGTGGATAATCTCATTCTAAAGAGCATGGTTTTCCTATGTCCCTACAGGAAGAATTAACTGCAAAATTAACTAAACTCATGGACTTTTTTGATGCAATTATGTAACACAGGCCTTTGGGTGTCAGAAAATTTCTACCAAAGAGAGGAACTATAGTTTCACATAATTAGTGCTGAGCCACTGTTTAGTGTAGTTGTAAAGAATGATTTCCAATGGAGACCAATTCTGATTTTTATAATAAACTATATCATCAAAATAAATTGTCATGGGGATGCACTATTTGCTTCTTTGTTGGAAAAAAAAAGCCATCCTCTTTAAGTTATTATCAAATTATATGAAAGTGGTATCGAGACTGATTTTTTTAAAAAATGGTCATGTTGGGCATTGGGCTAAAAGAAATCAGAAGACTATTCTATGTAACAGATTTAATATTTTTTTTCACAGTGACCCTAAATCCTCTTTGCAAAAACGAATTTTAGAATGCAATGGTTAAATTCACGTTAAAAAAAAAAAAAGACCCAGGATTAAATTCAAACTCTTCAAATTACAAGTTAACATGGACAAGCAGTTGGAACACTTTAAGACTCAGTCTCCTCATTTGTAAAATGCTCACTATAATGCTTATAGGGTTGTTGTAATAATTACATGAGATGTTATATAAGGGTCTAAATCATCGTAAGATAGGAATAAATATTAGTCATTTATTTTTAATAATAGTAAATTACCTAAGAATCAATGTCTTACATAAATTGAGTCCACAAATATTTCTTATCTACAGACAATCAATAAAGAAAGAATAGTGGAGGCCAAAAAGAGTCTTCCAGGTTCTGGAGATGTTACCATAAATCAAAATAGAATGTAATAAAAAAAGGGGAATGAATGGAGTACTTGGGCTTAATATGTGCTTATTACTCATGCAAGATAGTGAGACGAAAGACAAATTTGTGATTTATTACAAAGAA